CTTTGAATCCTCGAGTTGTAATCAACTCCTACAATTCAGCTATCAGTGGTATCAGAGCCATACGATTCCTTGGCATTAATGGCGAAAGGGACAAGAGCAAGTGGAGACCCAATCAATGAACCTACAAATTCAGAAGTAGGGGATTTGCGTGATATGATGCAGAATTTGATAATAGAGGTTAGAGCTTTAGCAGGAAAAATTTCTTCTCTAGAGAAGTTAGATCAAACAGTGATTGAGTTGCAGAGCCAATTTGCAGCATCTGGGGAGAATCGAAGGGATAAGACACTATTGGAAACTGAGAAAGGACCGACCGGAAAAGCTCAATTAGAAGAAAGAATCCAAAGAAACAGGGGACGAAGCCCTAACAGTGGTAATAGTTACCATTCCAACCAGTCGAATTTCACTCGATGGTCAAGAATGGAATTCTTGAGGTTTAATGGGGAGGATCTTAGATCATGGGTGTTCAAAATTTAACAATTTTTTTCTATGGAGAATGTTCTTGCTGAAGAAAAAATTGGGGTGTCTGCTCTGCAATTGGAGGGGGAAGCAATTCAGTGGCATCTATCGTTCATGAGATACAGGCAGTATCTTCATCTGGCCACTTGGAATGATTATGTGATGGCATTAGTAGAAAGGTTTGGTACTAATTTTGATGATCCCATGGAGGAAATCAAAAAGGTGAAACAGGTGGGCAGTGTGAAGGATTATCAAGCGATCTTTGAGAGAAATTTGACTAGGGTGAACTTATCTCAGGAGAATGCGATCAGTTGTTTTCTGGGAGGCTTGAAACCAGAGCTGAATATTGCTATCAAAATCACAAACCCTACAACATTATCTCAAGTTTATAAAAGTGCTAGGATGCAAGAAGTATTCATTTCTGCTATTAAGCAGCCTTATTCTTCAGTATATTCAAACTACAGTGGAAATTCAGCAAGAAGGGGAGTAGATCAAAGGGTTCAGAATAGGCCAATCCTACCAACTCCTGGTAGAGGGGGAGCACCAATACAGAAAGGGTTTCAAAAAAGGTCATTAATCCCAGAGGAAATGAATGAGAAAAGAGCAAAAGGCCTTTGCTTCTTTTGTGATGAAAAATATGTTATGGGTCACAAATGTTGAAACTTGAAGCAGCTTTACATTCTGGAATTAGAAGAAACAGATGGAGAGAAATATTGTGAGGAGGAAGAGCAATATGAGGAGGTGAATCAAGAATTGGAGATGCAACAAGGCATTGAACAGATGGAGATATCCATCCATGCTTTGAATGGGTCATTAGGGTATAGGACCTTGAGGGTCATCGAATATCACTCCAAACAACCGTTCACATTTTGGTGGACACTGGGAGTTCCCACAACTTCATTGATCCATTATTGCTTGAACAATTAGGGTGTCAAGTCACACAAACTACTCCTCAGTTAGTTGTTGCAGCCAATGGTACTATGAAGGTGGATAAGTCGTGCAAAATTTCTTGGTTGTTGCAAGGAGCAGAGTTTGCAGCTGAATTTTTGTTACTTCCATTGGGAAATTGTGGGGTGGTACTAGGAGTTCAATGGCTATTGACTCTAGGTGATATCAAGATGAATTTCAGCAAACTCACTATGGAGTTTTGGTACAATGGCATAAAACACTTACTAAGGGGTGTAGGCAAACAAATTACATCTGTTGGAGCTGGAAAGCTTGGGAAGTTAACAGGTAATCAATCTCAATTATGTATGATACAAGTACTTCCTCACATGAGTGTTGAACTACTTGCATTAGAAACTAAAGACAACATTGACAAGGATCCTAGAATATTAAGTCTATTGAAAGATTATAGAGAATTATTTACTGAACCTACAGGATTACCACCATCTAGGGGGATTTATGATCATAAGATTGTGTTACAGTCGGGAATAGAACCTGTTAATAAAAGACCTTATAGATATCCTTCTATAAAGAAGGACATCATTGAAGAACTTGTGCAACAAATGTTAGATCAGGGCATTGTTCAGCCTAGTAGTAGTCCATTTGCCTCACCAGTAGTGTTGGTTGGCAAAAAGGATGGCTCATGGAGGTTGTGTGTAGACTATAGGGATCTTAACAAGTACATTGTTAAGAACAAATTCCCTATACCTCTGGTAGAAGATCTTTTGGATGAACTTGGGGGATCAATAATTTTCTCCAAAATAGATCTTAGGGTTGGGTGCCATCAGTTGAGGATGACCAAAGAAGACATACCAAAAACAGCATTCTGAACTCACTCAAGGCACTTTGAGTATTTGGTAATGCCATTTGGATTATCTAATACAACAACAACATTTCAAGGGTTGATGAACAATGTGTTTCGAAAGTTTTTGAGGAAGTTTGTTCTAGTTTTTTTATGATATTCTGATCTATAGTCAGTCTATTGACGATCATCCGTTGCACTTGAGAAACGTGTTTGTTGCAATGAAGGATCATCACTTACTAGCCAAGGAAAGCAAATGTTTCTTTGGAGTGGATCGAATTGAATATCTGGGTCATTTCATTACCAAGGAAAGGGTATCCACTGATCCTGCAAAAATACTTGTTGTTCAAAATTGGCCAGTACCAACTGCTATCAAGCAATTAAGAGGCTTCATTGGCTTGGTTAGTTATTACAGGAGATTCATACAAGGGTTTGGCATCATCAGTAAACCACTAACTGATCTTTTGAAGAAGGATAGTTTCAAATGGTCACCAGCTGCTACTGACGCGTTCGAACAACTGAAGGAAGCTTTGACTAGGACTCATGTTCTCGCCTTACTAGATGCAAACAAAACCTTTGTGGTTGAAACAGATGCTAGTGGGTATGGCATTGGAGCTGTGTTGATGCAACAAGGTCATCTTATTGCCTTTATTAGCAAGACTTTTTCACCAAGACATACCGCCATGTCTGTCTATGATAGGGAATTACTAGCTATTGTACATGCCGTTTCTAAATGGTCTCAGTATTTTCTTGGGCAAAGGTTCATTAGCAGAACTGATCAGATGGTTCTGAAGTTCTTAATGGAACAAAAATTGCACACCAATTCCCAACTTATGTGGTTGACCAAGTTAATGCCTTTTGATTATACCATTGAGTACAAAGCAGGGATTGAAAATTAGGTTGTTGATGCACTTTCAAGGGTATCTAGTGCAGAACTCTTGGCTTTGATTATTTTCAATACTGATTCTGAATTGTTGCAAGCTATTGAAGATAGTTGGACAACAAGCATTGAATTAAAGGGATTGATTGAGAGGTTGCAATCTGATCCACATACTCATTCCCAGTTCACTTGGTATCAAAACAAATTGAGGAGGAAAGGTAGATTAGTTGTTGGCAAGGTGGGACGACTAAGGCAAGATATCATCACTTTGTGGCATGCTACACCCCAAGGGGGCCATTCTGGGATTGAGGCTACATTGAAGAGGTTACTTACACTCTTCTATTGGAAAGGAATGAGAAAGGATGTTAAAGTGTTTGTGCAAAAGTGTGATGTGTGCCAGAGAAGTAAAGCTGATCTAGCAGCTTCTCCTGGTCTTTTACAACCTTTACCAATCCCTGAGGTAGTGTGGTCTCAAATCAGCATGGATTTCATTGATGGTTTACCAAAATCCTATGGCTATGAAGTCATACTAGTGGTAGTTGACAGGCTTAGCAAGTATGGCCATTTTATTCCTCTTAAACATCCTTATACAGCTCAGTCTGTAGCTAAGGTTTTCATGGATGTCATAGTCAGACTTCATGGTCTCCCTGATAATATCACTAGTGGCAGGGTTGTTGTGTTTCTCAGTACATTTTGGCAGGAATTATTTTCCTTACAAGGTGTACAGTTGAATCTATCTTCAGCATATCATCCCCAGAGTGATGGTCAAACTGAAGTTCTTAATAGGTGCTTGGAGACCTATCTGAGATGTTTTTGTGCTGAAGATGCTAAAGGGTGGTATGATTGCCTACCGATGGCAGATTTTTGGTACAATACTTGCCATCACTTTGCTATTGAGTTAACTCCTTATGAAGCACTTTATGGCAGACCTCCTCCATTGCATTTACCTTACCTGCCAGGGGAGTCCTCATCTGCTGAAGTGGATAATACCCTCATCAATAGAGAACTGAAACTACAATTGTTGAGGCATCAGTTGATACGCGCCCAGTTGAGGATGAAACAACAAGTTGACAAACATAGGAGTGACAGAAGTTTTTCAGTTGGTGATTGGGTTTACTTCAAGGTCAGGCCTTACAGACAAGTGACTATATCCGAGACTCCTCATCACAAGCTCGCTGCTAAATACTATGGCCCATTCCAAATTATTAGAAAGGTTGGGCCAATAGCATATACTTTGCTCTTTCTAGACTCTGTGAAGATTCATCCAACAGTACATGTGTCCCTCTTAAAGAAGTGTTACGAAGTTCCTTCCCTGGTAACCTATCCGCCAACCACTGATTTAGCAAATCCCCATTGTTCAGACCCTGAAGCCATATTGCAGCGAAGGATGGTTAAGAAGGGTAATAAGGCAGTGACGCAAGTCTTGGTGAAGTGGAAAGATTTGTCGGCAGATGCTGCTACTTGGGAGTACTCGAACATCCTTAAGACCAGATTTCCATCTTTTGATCCTTAAGGACAAGGATCTCTTTGCGGGGGAAGTACTGTTAGTAGATTTCCAGATTAGATGAGTCAGCAAAGTAGTTATACATTTTAGCGGGAAAAACAATTAAGAATAATACACAGTCAAGAATCTAGTTAGCTTCAGGAAATCAGTTAGTAACAGATTTAGCTCAATCTCTTTCATTGTATGCAACTATAAATACTTGTACAAGTCATTGTAAATAAAGAAATAATAGATACATGTTGTTTGTCTACATTCAATCTTCTTCAATCATTTCTTCTCTTCCATAATCTGTGGTTATTTTCTCGAAACCTCTCCGATAGGATCCTGAAATAGCCTTTGAATCCCCGAGTTGTAATCAACTCCTGCAATTCAGCTATCATAATAGGCTCTGTTTGGGAACTTAAGAATCGTGATCAAACTAAACTAAATGAGTTTGTTGATGCATTTTCTAATGGAGGCAATCCCCAATCGTCTGGGCTGAAATCAAGTAAAGAATTCAAAACCTGATCAGCGACTTGATAATATGAACTATCCAACCTTGCATCTGGAACCATAACTACTGACCTGCATGCAGTAACATAAATCCCAAGTCAATAGATGATAGCGCAATCAGAGCTTTATGCAACCAGGTGATCTTCTATATCAATGACAATGGAAATTATAATGCCACTTCAGGACCCACTTGGCATACGTTGTTACATCTACCGGAAGAAACCCTTATCAACGAACAGAACTTTGGGGATTTTAGTAGCTAAAGCATGTTATTGGCGTTTAATCATCCCTCATAAGACCCAAAAATGCAGTAATAATAGAAGCAAACAAAAATGAGGAAGTTCAAAACTCATGATAACGGCTAACATTCCAGACTGAACACATCTGAAGAAATTAATTTAAGGAAAAAACATAGCCTCATATTGGACAAAGCAGGAAAACTATTAGGAAAACACAAGAAACCAAAGCAAACACCAAAAAGAAACCATGTTACAAGGACTCTAATGATCACTACTAGCAAGAGATTTAGGTCTGCATATGTAAGGACCCAAACAAGGAATATCGTCTATCCATCACAAGCAAAACTAGGTGTTTGTGTGGGTGCCATAGAAAATTCAGGGTCCTGATAAAGTAGCAAACTGAGGCAAGTTGAGGACAGAACAATAATATGTATCTTTTAGATTATCGAATGATCCCGAAAGAAGATTATAAATCGGACAGAAAATTAGAACAGGAAGAACTTGCAATGTTGATAGGTTGAAAGAGATTCTTGAAAGTCAAGACAAAACCCCAAAATAGGAGGAAGAAGAAAGCAAGATCCTGAAGGAGTGCTCTGAGACCAAGAGCCAGACCAAAATCTTCTTGGTTTCTCAATTACTAGATGTCATCTTCAAGAGATGTACAACACCTGTGAGTTAATCAACTAATGAGTGCCAAATTGTTGAGACATAAATCTAGATGAAATATTAAAGGCAAACTATTTACATGTTGACACCAATCAGTGTAACCTTTTGCACAGGATGTCAAGTACATAAGACTGCTGTTGGAGAGTAAAATATTTATAGTAATAACTAAGACAAAAAACCATACAGTGAAAAAAACAAAATAAAAGATATGTAGTTGTGCAAGCATTTACTGGAAAGTACAAGGAGACTTGGTATCTAAACTCCTTAAAATCATGGAAAATGAAGTTCTATGAAGTGCAATTTCACTCAACCAAAGAGGCACTTGGTTCGAAAGTAATCATGTAGTTCTCTCAAATTATTCTATTAGAAGAAAATCAAAAAATTATCACCAGACATTAAAATTTTTGGTGATAGACTTACATTCCAGCATTCTTGGCTGCAAGGACACCAGAGGGCGCATCTTCAAATACAAGAATCATCTGTGGATCTACTGGTCCACCCTGTCCATATAAAACATAAAGAATACAGCTCATAGGCATCCATGATATGTCATAATTGACTACTTAAACTGACCATGTATCTACTGTTCCATTAGCTGAAGGATCTCCATTCTAGTTTTACAAATTACACCTAACTTTCTCAGATTTGGTAACCAAAATAGTGTTAACTTACATTATTTTTCCCTAAAGGCTTGTACATTCAGAAAAAGTAGTACAGATTTTGCCTTTATGTAGTAAAACATCCTAGAAATTTTAGATGTTATATACTCTCCACTTCAATTCGAATGCCCACCTTCCAATTTTAGTTTATCCCAAAATAGTGTCCTTCCTAAAAAGAGAACTTCAAAAACATACTATACCATATAAAAATCACATGGGAACCAGATTTTTCTCTTTTAAATACACCGTCTATCCCACAAAGTCTCCATGTTGAGTTTTGAATAATCAAAACACATTTTGTTCAAACATAATACATAAGGATAGATACATAAAGATAGTGACAGTCCATGGAAGGAGGAAAAGACAAATAATAGTCTCTGTGTTCAAGGATAACGACGGATGGGTTGACATAGCTTGAAAGATTCGGAGGTTTGCTGAAAACGGAAGTATACAGACTCGTGAGGCTGATAATGAAGATATGGTATTGAAGGTAAATGGAGAGTCTTTAATGCAATGTAAAAAGTACATATTCACATGCTTAACAGAAAATGTAGAAGGGAAACCAGAGATGAAGTTGAGCACAAGTGACTATATCTTGGCCAGAAGAAGCTGGGAGCATCAAAGCTTGGGATTGTTGAAATGATCAATGAAATATTTCTTTTGGAATTTCCATCTGATATAGAAGTTGCCAGGGTTAAGATTGGTGAGATGGAAGGGTAGAAAATTAATCTTCTGAACCGGACCTCGCTGACATCAATGTCCGGAAAATACAAATTCCGGTGACTCGAGATGGGTTAGGCTTAACAGTTTTCCGACACAACTCTGTGTGCCTTGATCCTGACGCTCACTTAATTAGGTTATATTGGGAAATGGAGCAAGGAAGGGGCATCATACTCCCTATGTCCCAATTTATATGACTCACTTTCCATTTCAGTCGGTCGCAGAAAGAATGACAAATTTCAATATTCAATTAGAATTTAACTAGAAAATGTTTACTTTACCCTTAATGAAATGATTTATAGCCACACAATCATCTATTACTAATTTTAGACCACAAATTTCGAAAGTCTTTCTTTCTTAACCTCCATATCAAGTCAAACTACATCACATAAATGTATATTTGTATATAGAACTTTTTTATACTATTTTTGCTGATACGTTACAATATTGTGCAGCACCGTGATTAGTTGAATTTGAAGATGGGAAGACAACTGTATAACATGCAGAGGAGGAGGATTGGATTGATATGAGCGAGTCAGATTTATAAATTTTAACTTCTGAGATGGCAAAACAATGCAACATCTTAACAAATATCATTGACTTCACTTTTTTCATTTGGAAGCTAACAACTAAAGATGACTAACGTGTTTGATCACTGCATCACTGTAAATAGCTCACAGTGCAATTTCTATTTCTAAAAAATAACATTATTTGAAGTTTGATATAAGAACCAAGCCAACAGAAACAGACATATCTGAAAAGTCTAGTAGGTAAATTATCAGTTAGACAATACTAAGGGAGGTCTATGTAATAGAAGATTGACCAAGAGAAGGAAAGCATCATAGCTGCGAGATCTCTCAGGATATACCAATCTAGAGAAACAAAAATCAGAGAATCACCTCAAATCTGTTTGCAGCTGCAAGGAATATATCAGGTGATGGCTTCCCTTGTTTAACTTCTGGATCATCACCACGAACGATATGATGCATTAGTGAAAAAAGTTTGCTGTGTCTTTGAGTTTTCAAATCAAAGTGCCGCGTGTGTGTACTGAAAAATGCATTTATATTAGTTCACTTTTTGAATCTTACTTTTTAAACATTATCTTAGCATATGATAATTCTAACACTTCTACTTGCTATACTAATTATGCCACAAATGGTAAACTTCCTGGTGAACAAAACAAAAAGAAGATGACATACCCCATAGCAACACAAATTGGTATCCCATTTTCATGAAGGTGATGAATCAGCCGGCTGGCCCCTATAACAGGACAGATAGTTAAAACAAGCAAAGAAATTTGTGTATACTGATCCAATTTTGCATTAAATGAAATCAAAAGATTGAAATAAACAGTACGTGGAATTTATATGCTAGTCTTCATACTTAATATCCACTCTACTTCAGAAACAATTGTTCTAAACTAACATTACTGGATGCAAAGAACTTGAAAACATAATTATTCAAGAAGTTGTTGGATAGGATTTCACAGGTAAGGAGAATATGGAATTAGATTTATGATCATGCTGTAATTCTAGCAAGAGATTGTCAAGTTTATAGGTAACCTCTTGGATAATTATGTTTTCAAGTTCTTTGCATCTAGTAATGTTAGTTTAGAACAATTGTTTTGAAGTAGAGTGGATATTAAGTATGAAAATTAGCATATATATTCTACATATTGTTCATTTCAATCTTTATGCATAGTGAACTCTCGAATGGTTAAATTTTTGCAATGAGTTAAAAGATGCACAATACACATAATGAACAGTCAAACTAATCATTTACCAATGCGATGGTAGGAGTAAAATGAAACCTCTGAAAATCATTTCTCATGTTCGCAGCAAAAGGTGTTCCATCTCTGAAGTGTATACCACAGTCCACAAGAGGGTAATGAACGTGTATTCCTTGATATCTAGGAAATGGTATGTTCCAAGTCACTAAAGAATAAGCTTTTCTTTTCTCAAGTTTCAAGGTTTAAACTTTTTTTAGTTAACAACTCTGTTGAGGCTAGCTTGCAGCACACCTCAACTAAAATTCCTTTGGTACCCACCAAAACATAAACAAATTGGAAGTTTCATCTAGGGTTGCCTCCGATGAGATTTGAATATTAATTGATCAAGGTTGTTACTCTGGCTCTCAACAGCTAGGCCATCTTCCAGGGACAGTTTCAAGGCTTTAATATGCAAAATATAGCATAAATGTTATGGAGGAACCTTTTATTATGCATCTAGAGAAGTAGAGATTAGATATCCCTGGTTATACTTTGGATGAAGAAAGAAAACTGAGCTATTTCCATCAAGTAAAGCAAAGCGTCTCCAAAACTTTTAAAAAAAAACCAGTTAAAGTTATCCTCTATTGGTAGTTCTTCGTCAAATGTCGTATAAGCTAGGCCCTATTAGCAGGCAAAGATGGAGATAAATAGTAAGGATTGAAACCCCATTAGCAGCTGGTGTATGTTCATGCAATATCGGTGTCTCATCCTTAAGAACTGGTTACTTCCTCAGCAAAATTTGGAATGTTGAAGGATAAGATCTTGCTTCAACAGAGATTCATGAGAACGTATCCACCACCTCCACCCCTCTTTTCTTTTTCAAGAATTTCGTAAATAGGAAGTTTAGAATCCAACATGAATATTGAAAGGATTACCAGATATAACACAAAATGTTCCACTGTCCCTGCATGTCTATTTAAAGTTACACAGAAGTTAATTCAACATCTACTGCATCAATTATACTTCCCAACAATTATACTTCCCCGATGCTTTTTGCACAAGTTATGGAGGTAAAAGTATACCTCGGAGTTGAATGCTCCAATACGGAAATTAATATGTAAAAAGTAGTATGATTGATCACAGATTTGTTCTGGACCTAAAATTCATCATACAACCAGAAAATTTGATCTTGTGGATAAACTGATGTCTTACTTTACAACTTTGAGGAAACAATAGCCTAACAAAGGGTTCAGTCCAATTTGGATGCCTATATAGGAGGTTAACTACATAATTTATATATATGTATATTATTTTATATAATATACATATACATTACGATATCTATCCATGTATATAATATGCAAATCAGAACTCTATTTTAAAGGGAAATCATATATAGTACATTTACATCTTCAGTCAAGAAGGTTACATAGAAAGTGAAGAAATTGATTTGAATACTTGATCAAGATCCACAAATTTATGCCATTTTAAGACAAATATTCAACTCCATAAGTTTTTACATCATGTGCAAAAGTCTGCTCCTCTTATGGACAGAACTGGGGAAGGGTGAGAAAGCTGAAACTTAAGAAATGAATAAACAAAAATATTCTCTCTTGTGCTTATTAAAATTGTACCTGGCATGAGGTCGCTTGTGGGGAACATTTTCTGCAACATTTCCTCTCTCTCTACAAGAAAATCTTCAGCTGTAAGTGAATCACTTATTCCCGTTTCTTCAACAAAGACCCTGGCAGCCTCTATTGCCTTCTTCCCCATCATCTTTGCCTTGAGTGACCAATCAAAAGTCTTATTATACCTAGCAAGTATAATCTCCTGGACCTCCGTATAGAATTTCTCGGTGTCTGATACACAAAAGAAAAGGAACAAAGAAGCTAGCAACCAAGATTTGTCTTCAAGTAGCATCTATTCGACCACACAAAGATTCACATATTTCTTTCTGATAGAATATGACAAACCGGAAAGGCATGGTAAATATCAATCTTGCCTTTGATCTTCCCTTTGATCCCCTATGTTAACAATCTACCACACACCTTCTTCCCGTTACTTATTTGCTTCCATTAGCGGCTTGTCGAGCATTTGACAAACTCAGTTAACTAGGAACGCAGCTAGCTCAGCTAGTATACTTACTTGCTCGTTATAAGGGGGGAGGCTAAAGCAGGGTAGCGAAACTAGGAACGGACTTGACTTGTTAGAGCTAGGCTGTTGAGTGAAAGTAAAGTAAGCGAGATAGTCATACGAGCCAGGGAGCTAGTCAGCTTGTTGTAGTTGCTACGGTAAATTGGAGTGAAACGAGTTGGCAGTAGAGAGCTCTTTTATTTTCTAAAACAGACTGCGGTGTCTTAATGTATCACGTGATGGGGTAAGTCCATATCAAATAATGTCTGCTGTGATCAAACTACATAGGTATACACAAAGGGACATAACAGATTTGGCTGTGTGAATTTGTTTTGTGGTTATTTAAGTTACATAGCTTGGGTATAGAAAATCCAAATAACAAAACACCTAGAGTAAAAAACTAAATGACGTCACAAAAAATTTAAATGGATCAGTTCATACATCCTTTTCCTGAACTTTAAGATACCCTATAATAAATCAACATCGATCTTACTGTTGCTTTGAGAGAACAAGGGGTACTAGATTTTTTTTCATTTTGGTTGATAAAGAGGGAACTAGAGTTCTCTTGAATACTACAAATCTTAAGGAAGCACAACAAGCTGTTTTAGGTATAAGAGTTGATTGTAGTTTTTTTACATCTCCAAAAAGAAGAATTCATAAAAGATAAGGCAATACACTGTGGAAGGAACTTTCTCGGACTGTCCTATTGCGAACTTTTCCTCTAGAGACACACCAGTATAAGGTTTTCACTGACTAAAAATCACAACCACGTAAAGGCAGTGAGTAATATGTAATTTACAAAAAGAATGCAATTCTCTGCTATGGTGACATGCTTTAAAACCACCAATCCGACATAATTTATTGAGTTTTCAATTAGGGGAGTATATATTCAAAGAACTTATATTGTTTACAGAAAGAACGCAATTCTCTGCTATGGTGACATGCTTTCAGAACCACCAAGCCTCTGTATAATTTACTCATAATTCCTCTTGATTAGGGAAAAAGATAATCAAAAAACTAAGAAATGCACTGTTGTTTTCTTTGATAGATGATAAATGTCTTAGTTCTTGAGTAGCTTATGTGCCAGATATGTGATGTTACATCAAAAAGACATACAAATGTGCACACGTGCTTGAGGAACACACTTATCATACCATCTCTACTGGAATGTGGAGTGGCATAATCTTATCTGTAAATAAAAGCATAACAGAATACATCAAAATACTCTTCCTCTAGATAAGAAAGAGTCTAATTGTCACAAGGACTCACTTAAAGAGACTAGAATTATGCATTTGTTCACCTATAAACTATAATTGACAACTTTTGGTAACACTAGCTAGGGCAACTTCAAATTTCAAGTCAGATAATTCCTTCAAGCAGAGGCTCAATATGTTTTTTGGCACAGTACACGTACCCAACCATCATCCAGGAATGCTATTTCACCCTTCAAAAAGATTTTCTAAATTTTGAAAATGCTTTGCATAATTACTTCAGTGGCGTCTCCTTTTCTAATATATGAGCTTCCCCGCCTTATCTTTACAAATCCTAAATCTGCCATCAAAAGTTACTGTGCTCATCATTCATAACAAGGGTAGAGCACATCACAATCAAATTTTGAATTTCACTCCCAAATTAAAACAATTTTAGCAAACGATTGCATCAATTCTTGAGAAACTATACTTATAGGCAATTCCCACAAGCACATTATCTGTTATCGACAAAGTGGACAATTGAGTATCAAAAGAGGGTGGCATTACATTCTCAGTTCATTCAGATTCGTAAAATAAACTTAAAAAGTAAAGGAAAGAGAGTAGTAGAGCAAAATCCAAGTGAGATCTTATACATATTGATACCTAAAAGAAGGCCGTCCATGTCAAAGATTACATGAGTGATTGAGCCTTTTCTTGCACATGAAGTATCATTGATGCCTTCATTCGCCATATTCGAGCAACTTTTAGCTTCTCGTTCCTCTTTTCTTCCTCCCTGCTACAAGCAGCAAAGGCGGAGGAGAGAGAGTGTAGAGGAGGAGGAAGCTTTTTGAGTTCCACTGTTAAAGTTAACGGGGACCAAAATTCCACTTTTTACATATATCATGGGTTGTTTTACATATAACTTGATTATTCATATACCGGAAAAGGATCAAAATTGCCTCTGAACTATGCAAAATAGACCATTTATACCCTTCATTATATTTTGGGATTAAAAATACCCTCGCAGTTATCCCAGGAGACCACAAATACCCTCAAGAGTTAACACCCCAATTTTTTAGTGACGTGGCAAGCCACATGGGACTAATTCCTCCACCTAAGCATTGCTAACTAAGGGCCCGTTTGGCCATGCGATATGGTATCATGATATGGATTATGATATGATATCATGATATGGAATCATGAGATAAAATTGAAGGTTTGTTTGGACATGCAATATGAAATTTTTGTGTTGTATATTTTCTCATAAACATAAAAATCTCATAAGTTGTAAAACTATTAAAATAGCCCCAATTGTTTATTCAATCTTATCAAATAAACAAAAAATTATACAATCGCATAATAAATTATTACAAAGTTATTTGTTCTCCACTTAAGTAATTGTTTCATCTAACTTTAATTTAATAAAAAAAATTGAACATAAATTGTACTTGATATGCTCATATCTCTCAACTACTATTACAAATAACCTATAAAGTAGAAAAAAAAACATACATTAGTGAGTAAATATTAACTTAGAAGTTAAATACACTAAGATAAAAATTAACAAACATCACTGACTTCTAACTATTTACAAGAAAAATCAATAGTTAAATATTATAGAATAACGAAATTTTAAAAAGTTACCACAAGTTTGAGTCAAAAACATTTCTAATAAAATTTAATCAAAAAAATTATAACTAGTCCACTTGACTAAATATTAATAACTAATTGATCAAACTTTTCCCAAGTCCTCAATCCATTAGACTTGATATTCTTCAGTCATGTGAACGAACATTTTGCGAATACTAAGATTAAGAAAGTGCGGCACCGCCAATGAAAATTGTCTTTTATCAATATTATGCTTAGTCATAAGATTAAGACGCTTTTTTTTTTATAATGAAAATTCAAAAAAGTATTACTCCCTTCGTTCTTATTTATATTCACCAAATGAATTTTTACTTTATCATTTATATTCACCAAATTTAAAGTAATAATAAATTTTATATTGGTGAGAATAATAAATTTTAAAAAGTAATGATGTGATTATAAATTTTATTTACATATGAAACAAATGGTTAGTAGATATAAATGTGGGGTTGTTTTAACAAAATATAAACTCATGGATCAATTATTGCATTAAAATATCTCAAATCATGATATGGAATCACCATATAATTCCATATCATGGTTTTTGGAGAATATGGTATCACCTCTCATGATATGAAATCATGAGATGGAATCAGCTTAAAATCGCATGTCCAAACGTTGATTCCATCTCACAACACCATATCGTGATATGGTATCGCATAGCCAAACGCCTACTAAGATTCACTACAAAAGAACTTGACTTACAAAATTCCAAAATTTTGCCACTAAAGGTTATGAGTGATTTTTAGTGGCGACTAAGGCTCCAACAACCATTCGCTAGTAAAACCTATTTTTTCAACAAAAAAATATGATAATTAATTTTCGATTGCGACCTAATTTTCTAAAATAAATAACTTGCAATATCCATATTAAAAACATCCAATATTATTACGAAAAATAATCAAAATTACTTCTCGATTCAAATCTCCTACTATATATATATATAATGCATCATTGTACATTTTATACATTTACATATGACATAAAAATAAAACATATAGTGTCTTCAAACTCCTACTTAATCGATATCATATTTGGTTTTTTAAAAACAATGAAGAAAAAAACACAAAATTAGAATTTAATGTTAAAAACTTTTAGTGACGATTTTCTGGGCTTTTGTGGCGACTGTTGTTGCCGCTAAAGGTCTAGTTATTTTGTAGTGAATCCTAGTTGGCAACGCTTAGGTGGAAGGATTAGTCCCACGTGGATTGCCACGTCAACAAAAAATTGGGGTGTTAACTCTTGAGGGTATTTGTGGTCTCTTAGGATAACAACAGGGGCATTTTTTATCTCAAAATGTAACGAAGGGTATAAATGGTCTATTTCATATAGTTCGGGGGAAATTTTGATCCTTTTCCGTTCATATATTAATCTTATATATCACGTTTGATTTAGAAATAGGATAAAAGTTATTTATGTATTATTTTATAGAAGAATATTTGTTTGGTAGATTTTTAAATATTGTATAAAAGTTATTTATGTTTTGTGCTTTTTAGAAATAAAATAATACTTAGATAAATCTATGTATAATTTATGCGGGATAAAAGGTGGAATAAATTATGTGGGGTCATTTGGTTCGAAGATAAGTCATGTTGGGATTAGTTATGTCAAAGATAAGTTATGCTGAAATACACTCCATTTTATTTATTTATTTATACTTTCTTTGCCTGTTTTAGTTATCCACTTTTTAAAATAAAATTTTCATCTCATTTAGCTTAAATATTTTTGTGTGTGCATTCTCATAATATGCCAGATGTTTTTAAATAAAAAGCATTCATCTTATTTAGCTTAAAAATAAAATTTCATCTTAAGTTTGTTAAAGTAAAAGAAATTTTATTATTAATGTCACTTCATTTAAGCACATATCAATCATATTATTGTAAAATATTGAAGTTATCTTCAATTTAATTGATATATAAAATATAAAATTTCTAAGTGATTAAAAGACAAATAAATTAAGAATATGTAATTCAATAGTGGAGTGAACATTTTAAGAGAAATAAAAATATAAATAAACATAAGTATTATTCGAAGAAATTCAACATATAATGTATTCATAAATAAAAAATAAATTTATATAGCGTATTTTTTAATGAAAAAAAATATAATCATAAAAATAAAGAGTAGTAAAGGTTGTGAATGTCATCATAAGTTGTATTGAATATACATGTATGCAAAAGTGATGTATAAAAGAGGGTTTTAAGGAGGGACTTTTGTTATTATGCAATTTTAGTATTTCATCCACAAGTAGAGATAACTTATTTCAATCATAATTATTAATCCTAAGATAAATTATTCCACACTTTTTAACCAAACAAAGAATTGGGGGTACTAAAAACTTATTCCAAGATTATTATTTTTTATCCAATACACAAACGAACCCTAAGTGATATATATAAAGGATCAAAATAATTCAACCTCATATATTAAGGATCATTTTCTTGCCTTTCCTCCACATAATTTCGTGCCTTTCTTTCTCTTTATCTTTCCTAGGATCTAGGATTGAGTTTTTGGCATAAAGACATCGTAAACTATATCTTAAACTTAATCTACATCATTAAACAGTTATAATGAACAAAAAAACATTCTTCAAAAATTAATCGAGGAGATTGGTATGACTATTTCTACAAGTAAAAGAATGTATGAAGTTAGTCTCATCGTGTGCTTCTACATACCCCAAGGTCCACTCTCATCTTTTCATTTGACTCTACTGAGGAATAAATGGAAACTATATGTGTGAAGTCACATGACACCAAAATGTGATCACCCACCGCGACATCATGTCACTTTAGTGTCATGTGGTATAGTGTTGTCCATGTGAAATGCTTACATAGAAAGAAGACTAGTTCTTACTGAAATATTCGAAAGATGTATAGAGATTTTCCTTGAAAAACCTTAAAATTTCATGAGTTTGCATGGAAGGTCATGAAACATTCTAGTTAAGTAGAGAATTCTATAATGGAGACTTATACACAATTTATATTTATATATTAGCTCTAGGTGAGTTGTATAAACTGAAAGCAAATTAATCTTCTAAGTCTTGAGCAATATAAAAGCTTCACTTTGGCAATTCTCTTGGGTCTTTTTTAATTCAATATTTCCTTAGCGATCTAATATTAAAAAAACTTACTTAAACTTGCAAGATAAGGAATTCAAAATATAAAAATTTAAATACGAAACAATTACAAGATGATAAATCGGAGGCGAATAAAAAGACAGACCAATATTAACCTGTTTTACTTTACGGTTTGTTGTCATTTATAACATGTAATTCCTTCCCATTTTTTCCTACTCCATCTAGCTTTTTAAAAATTTCTTGTGCATTTTAGGTAAAAATTAACTTTAAAGAACAAAACAAAAAATAATATCATCATATCATAAAAAAGTCACTTATTTTGGAGAATATTACAAAAACTAAAATATCATTTAAAAAGAAATGAATAAAGTAAAAGATTGTATCTTCACAAAATGAAAATTTCATAAAAGCCACAAGTTGATTCCCTCCAATTAAGAAACGATAATAAGAAGAAAGCAATACCATAACTAAGCTAAGGATTAAAATGTTACTACAATTACATATTACCTAGGTAAGTAATTGTATAAATGGTAGAAAAAATCTATTCAATGAAGATGACATTTAGTTGTCCAAAAAAAAGCCTTTAAAAATGACATTTTACAATAAAAACATGTAAGAAAAAGTATACCTTTACTACAATATAAAGGAGGGGGATTTTGTTAAGCTTGGACAATACTACAATATTAACAAAGAGAAAAACTCTTCCACTACCAAGAAGAATTGTTTCATGCTCGTCACCTTCAATGACTCAAAGAATTTTACTTCTTTTCTGTTCATAACCTTTAAATGGCAATCACAAATAGTTTTTGCAGTATTCTTCTTTCATATCTCTAATCTGTAGCTGAAATTTTTGTCCATAAACTCATCAGATTTTAAAAAATTTTTAATGCAGGGAATATAATGATGTTGTTTGTTGCTGCAACTATAGTTGTATGCGTTCAAAGTCAACTGATAACAAAACACCTTATAACGTGATTCTTTCTAAAGATGGGATCGGGAATTTCAACACAACGGATGGAGCAATATTGGCGGCCCCTAATCACAGTGTCAAGCCATTTTTCATAAAAATTAAGAAAGGCACATATCAGGAATATATTAGAGTTGATAAAAGGAAAACTAATATAT